TTTCCCCTTTTTTAAAATTAACTAATTAAATACAATTTTTTTATTAAAGACATTTTTTCGAAAATGTGTCAAACATTAAACAGTAACATCAAATAAAAATATTTCAATAATATTAATATATATTAAAAATAATAAATATATTATTTCTTATTCTAGGGCAAAACGCAGCTTATACTGTGGCAGTACCATGAAATTCATGTACCGTGGTGTTTACATGGTACTCAGAGTAATTCATAGAAAATGTTATGATAGTGATATTTTGTTAAAAAATATCAAAAGTATTTGACCAATCATTTTCTGAACTGGTGGCATAAGATGAATCCATTGTTCAGTTTCTGTTGCTTCTGTGAAGTTCGTTTTTATCATTAAAGACTGAATTTGCTTATTTTAGACCCAGATGCAGATAGCCCGATTACCGCGGTATGACGCATGGTGAAATGAATTGCATGTCATTGCATTTAATCCAGAGTGTTTTGGAAATATATAAGATGTCAGATCCTTTGCATGATGTGATCAATTTGACAAACATTTACAATCAGGAAGACGATAAAAAGCCAAACAGACGATCTGGAATTTCTGACAGTTGAGTCGCTGATGTGAAGTACAAAAGTGCTCAGTCAGCCTCTGATTATACAAGGTTTCTGATTAATGCGATCAGCTTAAAGGTGAACAAATGCTCCTCGCATCATCTGTTTAGCAGTCGTGCTTGGGCTTCCATACTTGCTTTGTGCTCCATCATGGGATGCTAAAACATTCCTGCCTGTAGAAAATGCAATGCCTAGCGTGATTTCTATGACTTAATCTGTAACTTATGTCTGTAAATATGATTGTAAACTGATCTTGAATGATATTTTTTTGTCTTTTTTGTTACTCTATCATCAGCACTGGTAGCCTAAATAAAAATATTTTTAGCAGACTCACTATATGCCTCGATACATGTTGTCACAAAAAATATATTTTTATATATATGTTACAAGTATCACATCACAACAAAATTAAAGTGTTGTTCGGGTTTAATTTTCATTCATGTAATAAACGCTGCACTTTTTACAGGAACATTTAATATAAAACTAATATGGTGCCTTTACAGAGTAAGCGTGGTCAGAAGTTTCTCTGCTCATAAAAGTGCTCAAGAGACGGATGCATTCAGGTTAGTTTCTGATGTTACAGTAAGTCAGTCAAATAATATATAAGGACATATTTGGTGCAAATAAAGGCCATAAACTGAATGAATAAAAATACACAAACTAACAGATCAAACCTACTACTGCAATATACACAAGCATCAACAGTCGTTCAAATATTGATAACTTCAAGGACTTAAGCGGTTTCATTCTAGCATATTAATCTATGGATCTCATGGAAAAGTCACATTTCATCCTTAAATCGATAAAAAAAACAAAAAAAAAGTTTAAATTTTACTTCAGGAATGTGAATCCAGTTTTCGAGAGCATTTGAATTTAAGTAAACACAATTTAGCCTAGTGCATCTGGACATTTTATTTTTTGCAATTCTCAGATGTTGGTTAGCTTTAAATCCTCAGCTCTGTGTGTTTTATTACTTCAGTGTTTTTAAGTCATACGTTAAACGCAGTGCAACAAATACTACCATAATGCATGAACACAACACAAATTAGACCTCTAAGTCAGGCTTTCTAAAAACAAGGTTTCATTTTCCTCTGTGCATAAATCATTTTTCTTTAGGCTGAAATATGACCTGAACATGTTATTGCCAGGTTTCTACGGTTCCTCTTTTTTTTTTCAGTTTAAATAAGGCCATGTATTTTTGTCTTTTCTCCTTTTCATTCCCAAAATGATTCCCATCATCAGCTGTATTCATGTTGACTCAAAACTCATCGCTTGAGGAAATGAGGTTACAGTGGCAGATTAAAAAAAATGTTTGTGACAATTTTTAAAGGACTAGTTCACCCAAAAATGAAATGAAATGTTTGGAAACTCATTCTGACGGCACCCATTCACTGCAGAGCATCCATTGCTAAGTTGGTAAATCTAAATTTCTCCAAATCTGTTCCCGTGAAGAAACAAACTCGCCTACATCTTGGATGGCCTGAGAATGAGGACATTTTCAGATTTTCATTTTTGGATGAATTGTTTCTTTAAGTAAAATAAATAAATAAATATTTCCACCCTTCCAAAACAGTAGATACAATATTTTTGAGCCAAGCGTATCTACAAAAAAAAAAAAAAAAATTATTACAAAAATGCCCATGATTTTATCAGTAACAGTTTAAAAATTCCAGGATTCTGTGCAATGTAAAAACATGCGAAAACCAAAAATGACAGTATTTTCACGTGTGTCTGTAGAAATACAGGCAAATAACTTTATTTCATTATGTGAAACCGAGAGAAAAACAATTGAGATATACAAAAAGATACAGAATATGATCAAGATTTCTTTGGCTATTTTACACGTTCTGATAAGGCACATCTTCATCTGCAAACAACAAGCATTACACGCAAAGAAACGGAAAAACAACAAAAAACAAAACGCAAATAGTTCATAGTGATTGCAAAATGGCACAGCTGTACTGAGATTCTCATATTTCACATCTAAAAAGCAACTTGGCATTTGCTATTAGGGTAAAAACAGAGGAGAATAATGTAGAATTTGGCTTTATGACATTTTAATTTTTCAAGTTTGTTTGTGACTATTACCATTCTGTGAAGAGGCTGAAAATGCTTTTAAAAATGAAGTTGTTATACAGTATACTGTGTAATATTTTTTGTGCATATTACCACTTGAAATATAAAAAAACCCCTGCTTCTTCCTCTGTTGACATACTGATACCTTGTGGTTAGAAATGGTCTTTACACAAGTGATGCTAACACGTATAGTAAACAATATTTGTAAGTGATCATTTATATTCACTGTTATGGCTCTGAAACTGATTTATACTCATCATGCATTCCTTAAACAGAGTCTGTCTGATATATTCACTTCAAACACCATGTTAGAGACATAAATGAATCCTGGATTCTGGTAAACAGATGAAAACACTGGATAAAACTCCTCATCATCTGGAGAAATGTTTCCTTTAACAAAAACATGATAAAATCAACATGTGGTCAAGATAATGGCAAATATTTGAAAGAGGAAAACAGGACTGCCCTCTATATTTCAACATTTAGTGTAAACAGATTAAACAGAAGAAGCCCTTTACCCTCCGTTTCAGATGAAAGGTCAAATTATGATAACAGACAGAATATAAAACTGAATTCATAACTACATACTTGAATAATAGATAGTGGTATTAGATATATGCATATACTGCATGTTAATTCATATACTGATATAAATGCATGTCCTACAATATCTTGATTTATATATATATATATATATATATATAGCAGAAAATTACACATTTAAAGGGACAGTTCACCCAAAAATGACAATTCTGTCATCATTCACTCACCTGTTCCAAACCTGTACGAATTTCTTCTTTTAGCTGTTGAACACAAAAGAAGATACTTTGAAGAATGTTGGTAAACAAACAGCTGACGGTACCCATTGACTTCCATAGTATTTTTTCCCTACTATGAAAGTCAGTGGCTACCGTGGGTTAACAACAATCTTCAAAATTCCTTCTTTTATGTTCAACAGAAGATCGAAACAACTTGAGGGCGAGTAAATGATCGCAGAATTACATTTTTGGCCGAACGGTCTCTTTAGGTTGTAAAAAGTGCTTGTAAACGAGTAAATTCGCTTGCAAGAAACATTCCCAAAGGACTCCAAAGAGATAAAGAGTAGAGCTGGGACAATAAATCGATGCATCACGAATCGAGTAATTATTCTGCATCAATTCTGAGATTATGCATCGCGATTCTCTCTTGAATCGGTTCTGAGCGTAGTTTTTAACAGCAGATGGCACTGCATGCTTTAGAAACAGCCGTACTGTGCTTGCTTGCAGTTCCTGACAACATAAAATAATCATTCATACAGTTTGAAAAGGTTGAAGCGAATTAAAGGGTGTTCATAGTGGGCTGTGTTTACATTAATCTCACGTCATAAAAGCATAAAAGCCAAGGTGCAAGTACATTTAACCACTTACGTGAGCATTTGAGTGTGCGGTTAAAAACTAGCCTAGAGCGCCGTCTGCTGTTAAAAACTAAGCTCAGAATCGATTCCAGAGAGAATCACGATGCATTGATTTTTTTCCCAGCCCTAATTAAGAGCATGTAAGTATAAGTGTAATACAACACGTCAAGTGCGTAAAGTACTCCACGATTAATCACAGACACAGAGCGTGCTGAAAAGCGCTCAGATGTTGGTCAGGACGTCGCTGGTAGTGAGGCTCACTGACACCAGACCTGGAAGATTGTTGTTCTGCCGGTTTGCTTTGTCCCGCAGGCGAAGCGTGTGAAGCTGCTGCAGGTCGGAGAGATCGCCGCTCAGGACCGCCTGACCCATGAACGAGTCTTTCAGAAGGTTCTTGTTGTAGATCTGATTGACAAAGAGAGTAAGAGGCAGATTAGCAGTGCTGGGGAAAGTTCCTTTTGAAATAATGCATTACAATATTGCATTACGCCCTAAAAAACTAAGTGACTTTTTATGGAAAGTAATGCGTTACGTTACTTTTGAGTTACTTTTTAAATCTGGGCGGGGCTTGCTTGTTTGTTTTTAACATAAAAAAGTTCTATGTAAAAGCAAAAATGAAATGAATGCGCCTCAGGCTGAAGGAAATGTAAATTCACATCTGTACAGTAGAGGGCGCCGCTCAAACTAATCACATGAAGAATATGAGGCAGGAGAAGAAAGTTCAACACTATTCAGAAATAATAAAAATCAAACACAAATGTGAGCCTGGAGCACAAAAGCAGTCTTAAGTCGCTGGGGTATATTTGTAGCAATAGCCAACAATACATTGTATGGGTCAAAATTATACATTTTTCTTTTATGCCAAAAATCATTAGGATATTATGTAAAGATCATGTTCCATTAAGATATTTTGTAAATGTTCTACTGTAAATATATCAAAACGTAATTTTTGTTTAGTAATATGAATTGCTAAGAACTTAATTTGGACAACTTTAGAGGCGATTTTCTCAATATTTTGATTTTTTTGCACCCTCAGATTCCGGATTTTCAAATATTGTCCCATCCTAACAAACCATATATCAATGGAAAGCTTATTTATTCAGTGTTCAGATGATGTATAAATCTCAATTTCTAAAAATTTACCCTTATGACTGGTTTTGTGCTCCAGGGTCACAAATGTGTCATTTTTGCTTATTAGTATGGTTGAATTGGATCATTGAAGGTCAGCAGCAAAGACATTTGTTAATAAAATGGCATTAAATACATAAATGATATTCGTCGTATTTAACATATTTAATCATTGCAGGTTTCTATAATACTCTGAGTTTGCATTTGACTGTTTTTATTCATTTTGAGGAATACTGAATGTGATTTTGTGCAGGTGAGATGAGTAATACATGTTCATATTTAGTCTAGAACTACATTAAGATCATGTTCACACGTCTCTGCACTTATTCCCGATTTCTGTCACCATGGCAACACCAGAGCTGTCAGTCAAAACATAGGAAACAAAGTAACTAGTGTTACTTATTTTAAAAAGTAACTCAGATATTTCCTTCTAAATTAAAAAGTAATGCGTTACTTTACTAGTTACTTAAAAAAGTAATCTGATTACATAACTCGCATTACTTGTAATGCGTTACCCCCAACACTGCAGATTACAGAAGAGAACACGACATTCCTAATGATTCCTGAAAGACCGGCACCTGAATGCGGATCGGCTCCTTCGGCTTCTTCCTGTAGAACACGGCCCTCAAGTCAAAGTCCGGACTCTGTGTGTTTTTGTGCACCGGAGAGCGAACCTTCTCTCCCTCACAGCTGATGATGACGTACGGATCGGACGCTGAAACAACGGGAAGATTCAGTCGATCAAAAACAGCAAAACTGACTTCTGGGGCAATTTACTGAAACATATCAGATTCAAATGCACTCATTTTCAACATGTTGGTCTCAGTAAAAAATTCTGAAATTCTTTAAAAAGAACTTATAAAAGTTTGACATTTTTTAAATTACATTTTTTTTTTTTTTTTTTTTAATTCGTCGGTTTCTCCAATGTCCAGAAACATACAGATACAGTCTCAAACATACATTAGGGGAAAAAAGTGAAGAAAGTTAGACTTTTGATGTGTGTCATAAGTGAGTTTCTCAAGCGGGAATAATGCAGATATTTGAGACATCCACATATGAACACAATAACAATATACATTTCTTTGCCAAATGGATAAAAATTAAAAACAAGTGTTTAGCATGAGAGTCAAATATTGTCTCCACTCCAATATATAACAAATACAATTCCAGAGAGAAACTGAATTTAACTTAAGGAGCTCTTGTAGAAATATATGTATTTTGGTCCAAAAAGGCATACGTTTTTTTAAGTTTTTTTTTTTGTTTTTTTTAAATAACCAGTTTTGTTTTTAAATATAATTACTAAAAATAGTATTAAATTGTTTATTTGTTTTTGTTGTCATGTGACAAGCATGCCAACAGGAAATGACATCACAGAGGGCGTGTGTCAGGAAACTTCTCAAAATATCAGATAATTTGATCATTACGGTATGGCAAGATTAGTTCAGTTTGTAAAATTGTGAATTGAGTCATACTTAAAAAAAATAAAATAAATTATATTAATATAACTTAAGACAGGTTAAAACATACACTATTGTTTGAAAGAAACTGACACTTTTATTCATTACGGTTTAAATTGATGAAAAGTGTCAGTAAAGACATTTATAATGTTACAAAAGATTTCCATTTCAAATAAATGCTGTTCTTTTGAACTTTCTATTCATCTGTGAATCCTGAAAAATTAAATGCATCACGGTTTCCACAAAAATATTGTGCAGCACGACTGTTTTCATCATTGATGATAATCAGAAATGTTTCTTGAGCAGCAAATCAGCATATTAGAATGATTTCTGAAGATCATGTGACACTGAAGACTGGAGTAATGATGCTGAAAATACAGCTGCGCATCACAGAAATAAATTACAGCTTAACAGATATTCACATAGAAAACAGCTGTTTTAACTGTAATAATATTTCACTTTTTTTTTTTTTACTGTATGTAAATTTAATCTTAGCTAGCACAAGACAATTCTTTCAAAAACATTCATTTTCAAATATTGTCCTATCCTAACAAACCATACATCAATGGGAAGATTATTTATTCAGCTTTCAGATGATGTATTAATATCAATTTCCAAAAATTTACCCTTATGACTGGTTTTGTGCTCCAGGGTCACATATTAATTACATGAATATAAATGTATACATGAAAATATTTTCAAAATATATACTGTATGTGTGTATCTAAATATACAAATAAAAAAAATGGTGAATAATAACACATAAATACAATTAAAAAAAAACCTAACTGAGACTTGTTATAGCACTTACATATTATTGCTCTTTTGTTTTGATTGCTTCTATTGTCCTCGTTTGTAAGTCGCTTTGGATAAATTTCCATTTCAAATAAATGCTGTTCTTTTGAACTTTCTATTCATCTGTGAATCCTGAAAAATTAAATGCATCACGGTTTCCACAAAAATATTGTGCAGCACGACTGTTTTCATCATTGATGATAATCAGAAATGTTTCTTGAGCAGCAAATCAGCATATTAGAATGATTTCTGAAGATCATGTGACACTGAAGACTGGAGTAATGATGCTGAAAATACAGCTGCGCATCACAGAAATAAATTACAGCTTAACAGATATTCACATAGAAAACAGCTGTTTTAACTGTAATAATATTTCACTTTTTTTTTTTTTACTGTATGTAAATTTAATCTTAGCTAGCACAAGACAATTCTTTCAAAAACATTCAAATATCTTACTAACCCTAAACTCGGTAGTTTACACAACCCAAACATATTACACAAATATATGCAAGTTGTCAGGAAAAAAAATATTTTTTTATTTCACTTGGTGATTATAACACTTTTAAGAGTCATTAATGGTTGTAAATGTTTTATATATTTTTCAAAACTATATAATACTTATATAATGCTTCAATAGAAAAAATGCTTAAAAAAATGTTCAAATAAAGCCATAAGCCCCAATAAGCCGTGGTTTACAGTGAATTTATAACAGCTAAGGGGTGTTTATTCCATATACGTAGTAAGGTTTCACAAAATAAAACAGAGCAAATAAAGTGTAATGATATTAATAAAAACAGTATTCTTCCACCAAACAATGTAGCTCCTCAGAAACAGTTGCTACAAAGTGGTTGCCGAGCAACAGACAAACGTTAACAAAGGTGTATGTTACTTTGTAGAGTAATTTACAACAGCTTCGACACTTACATATTATTGCTCTTTTGTTTTGATTGCTTCTATTGTCCTCGTTTGTAAGTCGCTTTGGATAAAAGCATCTGCTAAATGACTAAATGTAAATGTAAATATATACAGTACACACACATATATTATGCAAACAAAACCTTGTATTTTGAATGCGATTACTCGTTTGACAGCACTAATAATATATATATTTCTGACGTATTACTTGCAGGCAGCAGGTACATCTGTGAAGATGCGCAACAGGAAGTCTCCCTGCAGGCCGGGGTCAAAGGTCGTGGGAACGAGGACATAGCGGCCCTCCTTCAGGTCCTTGCGCAGAAACACGCTGCGGGAGTTAATGTAGATGGAGCTGCCCACTGTTTTCTGGATGGCGTGCATGCGGTACGTCCGGTTGAGCTCCACCTTTCAGAAAACACGTCTCACTTAAACCATAAGCTGAATGAACACTTGTTTCTTATTAATTTTGTGTGCTTTTTCCAAAAACTGTGTCTGTTCTGCTGGATCACGTCACACTTTCTTACAAAATGGGTGCATTTTTTGTCTTATAAGTCTTGTATTATCACTTAATCAGCAGAAAAGCACCACAAACACATGATTTCTGTCTGAATTTGAGTCAGATTACAACAGTTTGTTCAATTCTCAGCCCATTTTCACATGCATGAATGATTCGGAACACATTAGTACATGTCATGCCACAGATAGAAACCCTAAAACACAATATTTCAGATGTTAACATATATACAGGTTGCACTTCGCTAAAAAAAAGCAAGGCTTTAACGGTACTCATCATGTTTATTATTAAGGGGAAATTGGTTATTTTTGCAATTTTTTGTGCCAAAAATATTTGATCTGGACACACACACACTCTCACACTCTCACACACACTCACACTCACACTCACACTCACACACACACACACACACACACAC